ACAAAATAAGTTAGGAATGTAGAGATGAGGTGAAGAGGAAATCAAAGCATGGACAGTGCGTGGACAGCTTATGCTGCACAGGGATTGGTTCCTGCAAAGTAACCAAACCAATCCAAACATGTGTGATGCAATGTATGATAAATGTAATGAGATGTGTAATGAATTTTCTGTGTAACTTTGGAGCTGTGATGTATCCTGCATCTACCTACATCTTGTGTTTGAGTCTGATCAACTCAGTGTAGCACTGCTATATGCCAAATAAAGATACCTGAATGATGAAAGCTGGAGTTGAACTGAGTTCATGGGAAGTTGAGTGGAAAGAGGGAATCCCAACAAGAACCCGCGATTTACACTAGTTTAAACCTGCAAGTGACCCAGGCCCCATGCTGCAGAGGAAGGCAAAAATCCCCCAAGGTCTCTGCCAATCTGACCTGGGGGAATTTTTCTTCCTGATCCCAACTATGGCGATTAGTAGGAAGCCTGAGCATGTGGGCAAGACCCACCAGCCAGACATCTGGGAAAGAATTCTCTGTAGTAACTGAGAGCCCTCCCCATCAGTGTCCAGTCACTGGCCATTGGAAATACTTGTACGAACAGTTGCAGATCGGCTACATGCCATTATAGGCATTCTCATCATGCCATCCCCTCCATAAACTTATCAAGCTCAGTCTTGAAACCAGTTAGTTTTTTGCCCCTACTGCTCACCTTGGAAGGCTGTTCCGGAATTTCACTCCTCTTATGGTTAGAAACCTTCATCTAATTTCAAACCTAAACTTGTTGATGGCCAGTTTATATCCATTTGTTCTTGTGTCCACATTAGTGCTTAACTTAAATAACTGCTCTCCCTCCCTGGTATTTATCCCTCTGATATATTAATAGAAAGTAATCATATCTTCCCTTAGACCTCTTTTGGTTAGGTTAAACAAGCCAAGCTCTTTGAGTCTCTTCTCATAAGGTAGGTTTTTCATTCCTCAGGTCATCCTAGTAGTCCTTCTCTGCATCTGTTCCAGTTTGAATTCATCTTTCTTAAATATGGGAGACCAGAACTGCACACACTAAACCAGATGAGGTCTCACCAGTGCCTTGTACAATGTTACTACACTTCCCTGTCTCTAGCAGCCAGGTTCACTGGTCCAACTGAGCTGCAATACCAGTTAGAAAGACCAGAAGTGTCTTTCTCAGTTCCTGTTGGAGGTGCATGGCACCAGCAGGAGCTCCAGGAGATAATGTGCATTGTATCAAGCAGTCACAATGCCTGGGGAAAACAGGGAGAGAACTCTGCTCCCCTCTGTGCTGAGGCAGAGGTGAGGAGGAGGGAGCTACATTATGTCTCTGACTCTTGAGAGGAAGGATGATCTTGTGGTTAAAGCACTGAACAGAGAATCAGGAGACTAGCTCCTGGTTCTAGCAGAGACTTGCTGTGTGACCTTGGGTAAGTCCTTTAGCGCCTGACCAGACCTTTATTCTGTATGCCTCAGTTCCCCATCTGTCAAATGGGTATAAAAATGTCAGTCTTCATAGGAACTGTCTCTCACTATTTGTGTTTACAGGAGCTACCCTGTTTCCCCGAAAATAAGACATCCTCCGAAAATAAGGCCTACTTACAGTTTTGCCTCTCGTTGTAATATAAGGCATCCCCCCGATAATAAGACCTCCCCGATAATAAGGCAAAAAAAATGTGTACCGTATTCTTCTTCATTGAAAAATAAGACATCCCCTGAAAATAAGACCTAGCGCATCTTTGGGAGCAAAAATTAATATAAGACACTGTCTTATTTTCGGGGAAACAGGGTAACACAATGAGGCCCCAAGCTTAACTGGGGCCTCTGGATTCTACCACAAAACAAATAAATAATTTGTTGTTTGAAAACATTCACTGAATAATTTATGGGAATAATTTTTGGCCTGTAGCTTGTTCACAAGCAACTTGTGAGTGTTTTAGAAGTGTTTTTTGTCACAGGTTTTACGTGCACATTTGGTCACATGGCAAGCTTCTGTTTCCTGATTGGAGGAGTTAGAATCCATTTTCAGGTGTGAATACTTGTGATTAAGGATTCAAAACTATTTTTGTGCACATATCCTACAATAGGATCCTAAACATGCTTTTTGAAGTGACAATTTGAAGAAAAATGTTTGCGGTATTCACCCAGCTCTGCTACCAATGACCCACTTCCTTGCATCAGAGGGGTAGCCGTGTTAGTCTGAATCTGTAAAAAGCAACAGAGGGTCCCTGTGGCACTAACTTCTGTTTAAGACTAACAGAAGAATTGGAGTATAAGCTTTCGCGGGTGAATGCCCACTTCATCAGACGCAAGGCATTCACCCATGAAAGCTTATGCTCCAATACCTCTGTTAGTCTTAAAGGTGCCACAGGACCCACTTCCTTGCATTATTTAATTCTGCAGTATATTTTAGAATGCAGGAGTCTGAAACGTACGACACACAACAAAGCTTTGTTGTGTTGTTTTGAACTGAGAATGGCAGTGAGTGATGTCACAGGGACATGAGGAGGAGCAGGTTCTAGAAGTGGGAGCAGTTAGAGGGGGAGACACTGGGTGTCGGTTGGGAACTTTCAGACCAGACTCTGCTCTGGAGGAAGCTGTGATCAGAAGCTGTACATTAAGGTTTGGGGGGTACAATTGTCCTTTAATTTATTAGCCGTCCTGTCCAAGAAGGCTCTGGACTGTCCTGCTGTTGCTATTGCCACCGGTAAGAGCTGATAATACCTTTTGCTACTGTTTCATTAGTACCTGCCAACATCTGGAGACAAAACAGAACGTAGCAAATTAGCATTAATGTGTAGCTATTTGCATAAGTTCAGGCTCAACCTATCAGGAGCTTGTGCCTTCCCATTTTAGGGGCAACAAACCACCAGTGAAAGAAATATTTGCATGTTTGATGGCTCTGGATAAGGATCATAGCTGAATCCTTACCTGCAGCTAAGCAGTGCTCAGCGCCACTGTGAGGGGGCGGGGTCAATAACAGCTTTATACTTTCCTGACTGGGGTCTAGTTAGAAGCTGGCATAGCAGTGTGCTGCCCACCCTGCTTTCTCCCCCAACAAGTATCCTACTTGAGAGACGGGGTATGGCCAGCCACAGTTAAGAGAATCCCCAACAGGCCAGCCAGTTAAGTCAGTTTTCCAGCTGCTTTCTGCTGCTGGAGTGATGTGAAACAGATGGAACAAGGGGGCTAAGAGTAGGCCCCATATATATAAGTACAATAAATAATAAACCCATGCAATATTACCCCTCTTACTCTTATTCTTTTATTCATGTTGACAAGTCCTAAAAAGATGAGGAAGAGGGGATTAGGGAAAATGCCTGTTAGCATTACTTATAACTGTATCACTTAATTAACCCCAAAAATGCCATAATGAAATGAAGTAAGCCAGGTCATTTTCAACAAGTTTCTAATGGTGGGTTTAAAAGATCCAATAATGACATATTAAATATTCAGTCTGGAAATACAGGGATTAAAAAAGCCACATTCCTCCCCCCCACCCCTTTTTTTTTCTGTCTTTGCTTTGTGACCTCAGGAATAAGCTGATAAATTTCAAGTAGATTTCAAGGTGGAACGGGATGAAAGGAAAAATCTGAGAAATGTGGTCCAAAAAACCAAAACAGAAAGTATTTGCTGTCTTGTGAGGCTGGGGAATCTGGGGTTGGAGAATCTAAAGGAGGGATGCCAGAGAAACACTAGATGACTCTGAAACATTTTAGTGCCAAGGCTTTTCTTAATATGTACAAACAACTCTCCAATTTCATAAGATTTCTCCCCTCCTGCCTCCCTCTATCCACACACCCTCTGAGCCGAGCATCAGAAAAAAAACAAGTTTACTTGAAGACCTGTAGAAAAGACAAAAAATGTAGCATAAAGGGAGAAACAGTAGACTTGGCCGGTCTGGGCCTTCAGTGCCACAAACTATTCTTATAAGGGTCCCAGGGAAAATGCGGGGAGAGAGGGAAGAGAAGGGCCCCTGAGAGAACAAAGTTACTGCTATCAGTGTGGACATGCTTCCAGAGTAAGAAGTGGCCATTGGCCCAAATGACTTAAACTTTAATATGTGTAACCCTTTGCCAGGTGGATCGCACTTGTCAGCCTTCCAGTTCCCACTGGACATCTGACACTTCACCATGTATATAATTATGAGAAAGTCAGCTGTGGAGTTCTGATGCCTTTAGCCTCAGTGCTTTCAGCTTCTGGATTAATAAGACTTGTTAGTCTTTTAGATTGGCCAGTTTACAGTGTGTGTTTGTGCATGCATGCACACTCTGTAGTTCCTCTGTGCAAAACAAATACCCCTCTGAGGGCAAGATTATAGCCGTGGGAGAAAGAGAAGTTACCACAGCTGGGGTGAAAAGGTTCAATCGTGGGTTACCCCAGGGACAGTCCTGACAGTACTTGTTATGGGAACAGGGAGTTAGACCCTTTGGTCATAGAATCCCCCTCTGATATTTAGTTCTTGTATTTTTTCCTCACAGGTGGAACGAGGTTCCCCATTCTCTGGCAAAAATGAAGGCGCTCACACTTCTCTCCCTGCTCGGCTGCCTGATCACGGCAAACGAAGCAAAAATCTTTAGCCGATGTGAACTAGCCTATATGCTTCATGAAGAAGGGCTGGATGGGTACGAGGGTTACAGCCTCGCCAACTGTGAGTTTTAGTGCTCCCTCCTTCTGACACACACACTTCTCCCCAATTTCCCCTCATGCCAAACTCCCTTCACTCTTTCACCCTCTCTGCCACTCCATTGTTCCCGCTGCCTTTTCCCCACTCCCCCATCTGTCTGTCTCTGCATGCTCTTTCCCTCCTCTCCGGGGCTCTGCCTTCCCGTACTCTCCCGAGTTGCCCCTGTTTCTGTGGACAGCCTCTGCTGTGGACAATGAGCATGTTCTCTTCCCGCATTAGGGATCTGCATGGCATTCTTTGAGAGCGGCTTCAATTCGGCAGCAGAGGACGACAATGCAGATGGCAGCACGGACTATGGCATCTTCCAGATCAACAGCCGTGTCTGGTGCAACAACTACCGGAGCCCCACTGAGAACCTCTGCCACATACCCTGCACTGGTACTGTCCCTAACCCCACCCCCAAGAGTGGAGAGAGCAGCTGCAGGATTCCTGCCCATGTCATAGCTGCTCTTCATTCCTCAGTTAAAAATGAACACACAGCTATGATTCCCCCCTGCATGGACGAGGGGATCAGCCACCTCCATGGTACCAGCCCCCCTTTCTAGGACCCTGTGGAGGGCTCCCTGCAGGGCTGGGATCTGGGTGGAGAGTAGGTAGCCCTGAATTGGGTGGGGCTGAGGTGGAGAAAACACATTTTCTCACCACTAGCCATGTGGTGGTTACCTGGGAAAGATAAAAGCCTGGGGTCATATTACCTGTCATGTGGAACCACTTCCATCATGGGAACTCCCCACTTTTAAGGCGGACACCCAGGCATAGCCATAGTAATGTGTTTTCCGAGGGAGCCACACTGCCTGGGCTGGGGTGGGAAGGCAGGTCCAGAGCCGTCCCAGAGGGGATGGGCAGAATGAGGTACAGTCCCCTTTGGCAGGGATACACACAAGACATATTCTGGGATAATAAAACTCTGCCTTTCACCTGAGGGTATCAAAGTATGTCGGACACTTGAATTAATTCAAACCCTCGGCTCACCTGTGGGAACAGTGTTATTACATTGATTACACTGAAGGGTTAACTGACATGACCAAGACGATGCAGCATGGTGGAGCTGTGAATAGAACCCAGGAGTCCGGACTCCCACTCTCCTGTTCCAACCAACACACCAGATGCTCTCTTCAATGGAAATAGCAGAGGGTGCAGTGCAGCCTCTGGCAAGCTGCGGTGGGAGGTACCTGCTATTTACCATGTATGCTGAGGGGATTCTCCTCTTGACCTTTCTGGATAGGGCAGGGTCCTTGGATCTCTCAGCTACCCAACAATGGTCCCTCTGATTCTTTTCTCTGTGTGTGACTTGATAGGCTGAGTGAGCACAAGTTTAATTCCTATGAGCTCAGCCCCTCCAGCCCCATGTTCACATTATCGCTCATGTATTCACTCTCCCATGCACCTCACTCACTCTTTCCTACATTAAATCTAATTGTCCTCACAGGTTCTCTCCTCTAGCAACCTCTGCCCCCTCACTCTCATTGCCTCTCACTCATTCCCTTGGCCTGGCCTCATGTCTTCCTCCCACTCCAATTCCTTCTGCCCACCATCCGTTCTCGTCAGCCCATTCCCCCATCCCCTCCCATCGCTGTTTCCCTACCTTACCTTCCCCTCCCATCAGCTCTCCCTTCTCTCTTAGGCCATCTCTCTCTTTCCACATGTGAGGGCAGGGGAGGTCTAGGCAGATCTCTCCCTACCCGGTTCTGAGTGTGTGGGGGGGGGAGGAGGAAGGGGGGCAGCTATACTGGGATTGTCACCACTTAGGTCGAGGACTCTGCCTGCCAATGTTCAGGCACAGCCAGGAGCTGTTACTCTGCTCTAGGTTCCCCTCACTCTCTCTGCTCTGAGAGTGCGGCAAGGAGGAAAAGGGGAGCCCAATTCAACACTGCAGCTCTGCCGCTGCACAAGCAAGCAGCCCCTTTTGAATGCCACTGGGGGAGCGCTACATAGGGCTGGCCAGCAGGGTGCGCAGCTGAACAGCCATGCCCCTTATACTTGGGTGCACCATACTGAGGTCTCACACGGTAAACCCCCATTCATGCTCCCCTCTTTTCCTTGCAGACTTGCTGTCAAATGACATAACGGATGACATCGTCTGTGCCAAAAGAATTGTGCGAGACCCACAAGGAATGGATGCCTGGTAAGGGGCGCCCTCAGAGATTCTCTTTGGAAATACAGATATGCATTTGTGATTGTGAATGTTGGCCCTTCGCTTAAGTCTAATGCTGAAGCAATACAAGTCATCACAATACTGCCTTAGAACTTGGTGACTGGACAGTGGCTGATAAGCAAACTCGTATTGCCTAATTTCAATTAAGAGAAACCATTTAGGAGAGACTATAGAGAAAGGAACAGAGGGGAAAAAATGTTGAACCAAACAAGGCAAAAATGAGGCATAAATGGACAGTAAATATTCACATAGCCACTACACTGGCCTCTTTAAGGCTCACCTTTGCCACGATAGCTACACAATAGCTATGGAGTTGGCAGGCTGAGACTGCTACTCATTATACCAGCCACAGTGATTTCATGTTCCTTTGTCTGCCCTTACTTGGTTTTTCCTCCACCTGTTGTCTCTTGTCCTATGCTAAGATTGGAATTTCCTTGGCAAGGGGGAGTCCTTTTAGGATGTACAGTGCGTAGCATAGTGGAGCCCCAAGCCCCGATTAAGGAGTATAAATCATGATAAAGACAGAGTAATAAACAAATAGAGACCGAGAAAGAAGGGCAGAGAAAAATTCCAAAGCACATATAAATATGGAGTTATCACAAGACCCATAGCACTTTGTACAAAAAATACTCATGTGAACTAAGTTCCTGACTAAGTTCCAATTTGGGGAGCCACCCATTCTGTTTTCAGGTTTCCCCCCTGTAGTTTCAGTTGGCTACATTATCCCTCTGCTCTTTCTGCAGTAGGGTGTTGCTGTGCATATTTCACCACAGAGGCAGCAGTATGTAAGAGTGGGTGAGGTAATTTCTGTATGCTATGTAGACAGTAAATTACTGAGGGATCCTTTGGCATGGAAATTACTGCAGCATGGTT